TTTTCTGTGTTTTTGTTTTCTCCTCGTGTGACCTCAGACGACAGAGAGCTGGTGAACGAGGTGTTGGAGGACATCTCTCGCCACGAGGAGGATTACCTCGACCTGACGCTGGAGGAGGAGAGCGAGCTCATCGCCAACATGAAGACCTACCTGAACCGGGGGCCGACACACACTGTGTGACCCTCACACACATACACACACACACACACCGCTTTACTTCCTGTTCGCCTGTTAAAGCAGTGAAGGTTATTTCCTGTTGACTCAGACGTCCAATCAGACGAGACTCTTCATTAAAGACCTTTTTTTTTTAATCAGCAATAACTCGATGATTCTCTCCTCTCGTTGAACCTGACCGTTATGTTCTGAGAGGAATCGTCAGACTTCTTCTTCACGTGTTGTTTTAAACCAAAGGACGCCGTTTCACTGTCGTTCTGATGGCGGCGAGTTCAGTTTGACGTCCGTCAGCAGTTTGATTTCACGTCATGTTTCCGTTTCTCGTGTGATGAGAATAAAAGATGAAGGTTGATGTGTGTGATGTGTTGCTTTACTCAGATTGATGAAGCGTGTGGAGGAGCTTTAGAGACAGGAAACAGAGGGCGCTGCACGCCGCTCACACACCTGTTCATGTCACGTTTACAAATGATCAACGGGGATGCTCCGTGACATCCAATAGGAGTGAAGATCAGATCACAACAAACGGCGTCCCACTCTCCTGAGCTCAGACGTCAGAGAGACAGAGAGACAGAGAGAGAGAGAGAGAGAGAGAGAGAGACGTTTTTATCATTTTGTTTTCTGCGTTCTTCTGCATTGAACAACTCCTCCATGTTTTCTCACTCTGATTCTTTAAAGTCCTAAAAGTTAAATCAACACCATCGAACGCGTGAGGTTTTCTTTTCCCACAGCGCACTAAGACACGCCCACTTTTAAAAACTAATGTTTGAAGCCTGAGTGTCGTCCCCCGTCTGTTCCTGCAGGGGGCGCTGGAGTCCCATCGATGGCGGTCTCTGTCTGTCCCTGCAGGGGGCGCTGGAGTCCCATCAATGGCGGTCTCCATGCTGGAAATGCTGTCTCAGTCTAACTTTCAGTCAACCTAACGACAGGCTGAGAGCTGGAGCTGAGGCGGGTTTTAAACCTCCTGACAAACCGTTACACCGCGCCCACCTGTCAATCAGGTCAGCTACACGCCTTATTGTGAATAACTCTTATCCTTCATCAAATCAAAACTGATGAGTCATCAAAACATTCACCCCCCCCGTACAGTGTGTGTCCATCCAGACATGAGCTAATCACACCTATTTGGTTTTTTGAACCAGGCTGTAAACATGTTCATCTCTGCTGTAAAAACAGGCTTTTTAGAATGAGTGTGTATGTGACTTCCTGTGCTTCTGCAGCCAGCCTCTAGTGGACACTCCAGGAACTGCAGGAGTTTACACTTCAGCATTGGTTTCATTTTTTAACACCAGCTAAACCTGGTCACATGTTTCTCCTCTTTTGTTAAACATCTAAATCTGCAGATGTAACTTTAGACTTTGACTCTCAGGTATCCCGTCTGCTCACCTGTCCTGATGAAGAGCAGCGATGTAAACAAAAAGAGGATGTGTAGTTTTAGTTGCTCGGCTGTAAGAAAACAACACGCACACACACAGAATGTTTGATAAAAAACCTGTGTTCTGATCTCAGTCTGGGTTTCTTTATTGTACATGATTACAGAGGGGGAACAGGTGGAGGAGGGGGAGGGGAGCTGAGGTTAAGGGGCGGGGCTTTAGAAGTAGTTGACGACCCTGCGGATGGACTGGATGTTGGGGTTCTGGGCCTGCCACTCGTTATGGCTGCAGTAGTCTCCACGCTCCACGATGTACATGCGACCGCGGAAGTTAGGCTCCTCGTACATCACCCAGCTGCAGAGCGAGACAAAAACAACCTCAATAAACCAGATTAAAACTTTCTGTTAGGGGGTACTTTGGCGCCCCCTGTGGACAAAGTGTGTAGTGCTGTTTAAAACTCTGGAATCTGGATTTTTGTTTCTGAATCAGGTTTATCCAGTCCTTTTCTTTCTTTCTTTAATGATTCTTTGTCTTTTTCTAGATACAAATTGAGACTCAGAAATGTTTTGATGTCAGAAAGATTTGTAGTGAAGAGTGAACTGTCCTGATTTTGTTAGATTGTCTTCATACTGTATGTCCTGTTGTTCTCTAGTTTCATGTTTTCAATGTTTGTATTTAATTTGTGTGTGTGTGTGTGTGTGTGTGTGTGTGTGTGTGTGTTGGACTCACGCTCCGTCTCCGTACACCTTGACAGAGTTGATGCAGTTCTTGGAGAGTCCGCGGCTCTGCAGGAAGGGGCAGTCCTCGCAGATCTCCACGCACTGACCCGAGAAGTTACAGGCCTCGAACAGCTCGATGCGGTAATGCTCTCCGTGCTGATAGGACGAAGAAACACAGAAAACAGGAAGTTAAAGTTTACTCTGCTCTCATTGGCTCTTTGGTCTCATGGTCACATTCCCATCGCCTTAAGGTGGAGATATTCTTCTCTTTAACGTCCTCTTGTCTGAGATCAAGTTAAAGTGGTCTTGATTCTGGGACGAGACCAAAACCAAGACCTTCACAGAGTGGTCTTGATTCTGGGACGAGACCAAAACCAAGACCTTCACAGAGTGGTCTTGATTCTGGGACGAGACCAAAACCAAGACCTTCACAGAGTGGTCTTGTTTCTGGGACGAGACCAAAACCAAGACCTTCACAGAGTGGTCTTGATTCTGGGACGAGACCAAAACAAAGACCTTCACAGAGTGGTCTTGTTTCTGGGACGAGACCAAAACAAAGACCTTCACAGAGTGGTCTTGATTCTGGGACGAGACCAAAACCAAGACCTTCACAGAGTGGTCTTGATTCTGGGACGAGACCAAAACAAAGACCTTCACAGAGTGGTCTTGATTCTGGGATGAGACCAAAACAAAGACCTTCACAGAGTGGTCTTGATTCTGGGACGAGACCAAAACCAAGACCTTCACAGAGTGGTCTTGTTTCTGGGACGAGACCAAAACAAAGACCTTCACAGAGTGGTCTTGATTCTGGGACGAGACCAAAACCAAGACCTTCACAGAGTGGTCTTGTTTCTGGGACGAGACCAAAACAAAGACCTTCACAGAGTGGTCTTGATTCTGGGACGAGACCAAAACCAAGACCTTCACAGAGTGGTCTTGTTTCTGGGACGAGACCAAAACCAAGACCTTCACAGAGTGGTCTTGTTTCTGGGACGAGACCAAAACCAAGACCTTCACAGAGTGGTCTTGTTTCTGGGACGAGACCAAAACCAAGACCTTCACAGAGTGGTCTTGGTTTTGAGTCCATGTTGTTTGTGTGTTCCTCTACCTGTTCAGGCTGGTTTAATGAGTTAACTGACCATGCGGATGGGTTTGCAGGAGCCCATGTGGTCGTTGTGGGAGTTCCACCTCTGAAACTCTGGGTATTCTCCGTGCTCCAGGATGTACTGCTGGCCCTTAAAGTCGGGGTGGTCGAAGCAGATCCAGGCGCCGCTCTCCACACGGATGGAGTTCACCCTGAAAAACAAAAACAAAAAAAACATTTATCAGAACCTGAAGAGTCTCTGTGTGAGCTTTGAAGCAGGAAGTAAAAAACCCTGACCAGGTGTGACCAGGTGTGACCAGGTGTGACCAGGTGTGACATGGTGTGACCATGGTGTGACCAGGTGTGATCAGGTGTGACCATGGTGTAGCCAGGTGTGACCATGGTGTGACCAGGTGTAACCAGGTGTGACCAGGTGTGACCAGGTGTAACCAGGTGTGACCAGGTGTGACCATGGTGTGACCAGGTGTAACCAGGTGTGACCATGGTGTAACCAGGTGTGACCAGGTGTGACCAGGTGTAACCAGGTGTGACCAGGTGTGACCATGGTCACCATGGTGTGACCAGGTGTAACCAGGTGTGACCATGGTGTAACCAGGTGTGACCAGGTGTGACCATGGTGTGACCAGGTGTGACCATGGTGTAACCAGGTGTGACCATGGTGTGACCAGGTGTGACCAGGTGTGACCATGATGTAACCAGGTGTGACCAGGTGTGACCAGGTGAAAGAAGTGAGACTGCAGAGTTTAAAGGTCACCTGTTCATGAAGCCGCGGTCCTGGAAGTTATCACAGTCTCCTCTGACCTCTAGCTTCCTGCCGGTGAAGCATTTCCCCTCGTAGAAGGTGATCTGGAGGGAAAACGTAGAAATCAAGACGTCAGTCATTCACAACGAGATTCAGGAAGAAATCTGTGCGAGGACGAGGCGGCGGGTCAGAACAGTTTGAAGTGAAAGAAATCGATAAATGTGACGCTCTTCAAGCTGCACGATGAAAACGAGGCAACTCTACTCTTATTGATTAACACCTGAGTGGGCGGAGTCAAAGAGTCTTCAGGTTTTTTTTTAGTATAAACTGAAAGTGAGTGTGAACGCTGGAGCCAGTCAGTGGAGCCCCCTGCTGGCAGAAAGTGGAGACGCAGCTTCGTTTAGCATTTTAGCATCCTGTGTTTGAAGGCCCTGAGAGATTTACTCACTGACAATTAAAAGAAGTCAACAAGAAGCTGCAAGAACTTACAGGAACTCAGTTTAACTTCATAAAAATCATGTAACACTTCAAGTCAAAGAAATGATTTTAATCTTTAACCCTTTGGACTCCGGAGGGTTAACAGTCAGCATCATCGCTCCAAACTCCAACTGAAAGTCAGGAGGATTCAACCTTGCCATTTTCAATGTTTTCAGTCCATTTGAAAAGTTTCTAAAATCTGTAAATCAAACGCTCGTCCTCAGCTCGCCGGTGATCAACCTCCATCCTGCGGTCACTCACCTTTCCAGAGTACTGCGACATTTTGCCCACTGGATGTTTTCCTGACCTGGCCTACAACCACACACACAGTGTAACAGAGAAAAAGTTGGACACCCCAATATATATGGGCGGGGGGCGAGGGGGGGGCGAGGACCCCGCCAGCCGGACAAAAGAGCGAGCTTTAAGAGAATCTGCTGCCTCGACGCTTTCCCTTCATCCTGATGTGTCTGCTGATTCTGCTGTGTGTGTGTGTGTGTGTGTGTGTGTGTGTGTGTGTGTGTGTGTGTGTGTGTGTGTGTGTGTGTGTGTGTGTGTGTGTGTGTGTGTGTGTGTGTGTGTGTGTGTGTGTGTGTGTGTGTGTGTGTGTGTGTGTGTGTGTGTGTGTGTGTGTGTGTGTGTGTGTGTGTGTGTGTGTGTGTGTGTGTGTGTGTGTGTGTGTGTGTGTGTGTGTGTGTGTGTGTGTGAGACTGAATAGAATTTGCAGGCTCGATGATATTGCACAAGCCACCCTTCTATAGAGACAAAAAGCATTCATACAGACTGTCCCAGTCACAGTCTGTCAGAGGGTGGGGGGGATGGGTTTTTAACAAACAAACAAACAAACAAGTCTTCCTCTTTCTCCAACATTTGAAGAGCAGCCTGTTTTATTTAGGGTTAAACTCCTGAACACTCTTCTGAGGGGGGATTGACCTCCGTGATAAAAGAAAGGCCTCTCTCATGTCTCCGTGCAGATATTTAGTGTTTTTATTCAAACAAAAAGGCGACAACAAAAGCTGACCCCTGACCCCGACCTGTGACTTGTTCTTTTCCAGTGGGGTGTTTTTTTTGTGTTATAAATTAGATGTTTTGGGTGAAGTGAGAAAGGGTAAATAAGTCAGCGCCCAAGTTAGACCACCCCAGTCTCAAAAGTCTGGACACGCCCCTGGGACTTGGGGGAGGTGTTATGAGTGGGTTTTGCCACTAGAGGGCGGTGTTCAGAGTGGAGGCAGTGAGGAGCAGAGTGTATAGTGACTGTGGATAAATTCAATCTGTGTGGGCAGCCAAGATCTCGTTAGACACCTGAGGTAGTGTGTGCACATAAAGACAGGTTAGTGGAGCTGTCAGTCAAACACACTTGGCCACGCCCTCACATTCCTGACACGAGGTCTAACCACAGTGTTTGTTTGTCTTCGACACAGGTTGGTGTTTTTATGGTTTAGGCATGGTGATAAAGGCTGTCCTTCCTCATGCCTGGTTGATATCTTTCCATTGGACCCAGAATCCTGGAGACGCCCCCTGGTGGCAGAGATGATGGTTGTAGTGGTGTGGTAGTAGAAGAAGAAGTTGAGTGTCGCAGTAGTGTACTACAGATAGTAGTGTAGTGGTGATATCTATAGTCTATAAATAACAAAAATTCCAAACAAATTATAAACTTAACACAAACTCATAATGAAGCCACTAGAGGGCGAATCTTACGCAGGATATATGAATAAGTCCAGATGATGCTTGAAGGTTTTAGGGTGGTTTATTTTATCCAGAGACATCAAGCAGGCAACAAACAACAAAAAACGCTGCTGTCTCTCTTGCCCTGTCATCCTGCCATTGCTTCCTGGTAAAAAAACAAAAAACAAAAAAAAATTAACCCATTAGGTGCCTACCTGGTCTCACCTGGCTAACTGGCTATAAAGACACACCCATGTACAGACTCCACCCTTATGCCCCAAGTAGCAAAATAAACAAATGGAAATAACTCATATGAAACATTAATAATCAAAATACCCCGAACATAATTTAATATTCAAATGTATCCCCAAAATAAGAATATAGACTTTCACTTCATTTAGGAACAGTGAATAGCTGTAATAAGTAGTATTGTGACGTCAGCAACAAGTAGTAATACTGTGAAAGTTGTAGTTGTCATAGCAACAGCAGTGTTTTCTCTCCCCTCCGAACCAGAGCGCGCGCTGCACCGTGCGTAATCTGTCAGTAATCCGTGTCCGCGTGCTGTCCGCGCGCTGCGCACCGTCATGGCGCGGCACAGCGCGCGCGCGCTCTGTCGCGCGATGGTTCCTCCTGAACATGTTTCTGTTGTAAACCAGATCATCTGAGCGTTTTTCTTCAAGCTTCAAGTCTACTCCTCTTCCTCACGGCACCGAACCACCGGAAGATGGTCACCTGCTCGTGCTTCTCAGGTGCGCTCAGCGGCCGCGCGCGTTGGTTTGATGTTTGCATCCTCCGTTTACTCACGAGAGGATTTGTGCACTTCTCTTTAAAAGTGTTAAAACATGTTAGTTTGTATCTGAGGCAGAAGTGTTATTATTAGATCTGAGTGGGTGTTAAAACAGGACAGGACAGTATCAGTACAGTATCAGGATCAGTACAGTATCAGGACAGTATCAGGATCAGGATCAGGACAGTATCAGGACAGTATCAGGATCAGGACAGTATCAGGACAGTATCAGTATCAGGACAGTATCAGTATCAGGACAATATCAGTATCAGGACAGTATCAGTATCAGGACAGTATCAGTATCAGGACAGTATCAGGACAGTATCAGTATCAGGACAATATCAGTATCAGGACAGTATCAGTATCAGGACAGTATCAGTATCAGGACAGTATCAGGACAATATCAGTATCAGTATCAGGACAGTATCAGTATCAGGACAGTATCAGGACAGTATCAGTATCAGGACAATATCAGTATCAGGACAGTATCAGTATCAGGACAGTATCAGGACAATATCAGTATCAGGATCAGTACAGTATCAGGATCAGGATCAGGACAGTATCAGGACAGTATCAGGATCAGGACAGTATCAGGACAGTATCAGTATCAGGACAGTATCAGTATCAGGACAGTATCAGTATCAGGACAATATCAGTATCAGGACAGTATCAGTATCAGGACAGTATCAGTATCAGGACAATATCAGTATCAGGACAGTATCAGTATCAGGACAGTATCAGGACAATATCAGTATCAGTATCAGGACAGTATCAGTATCAGTATCAGGACAGTATCAGGACAATATCAGTATCAGGACAGTATCAGTATCAGTATCAGGACAGTATCAGGACAGTATCAGTATCAGGACAGTATCAGGACAGTATCAGGACAATATCAGGACAGTATCAGTACAATATCAGTATCAGGACAGTATCAGTATCAGTATCAGGACAGTATCAGTATCAGGACAGTATCAGTATCAGGACAGTATCAGTACAGTATCAGGACAGTATCAGTACAATATCAGTATCAGGACAGTATCAGTATCAGTATCAGTACAATATCAGTATCAGTACAGTATCAGGACAGTATCAGTACAATATCAGTATCAGGACAGTATCAGGACAGTATCAGTATCAGTACAGTATCAGGACAGTATCAGTACAATATCAGTATCAGGACAGTATCAGTACAGTATCAGTATCAGTACAATATCAGTATCAGTACAGTATCAGGACAGTATCAGTACAATATCAGTATCAGGACAGTATCAGTATCAGGACAGTATCAGTATCAGGACAATATCAGTATCAGGACAGTATCAGTATCAGGACAGTATCAGGACAATATCAGTATCAGTATCAGGACAGTATCAGTATCAGTATCAGGACAGTATCAGGACAATATCAGTATCAGGACAGTATCAGTATCAGGACAGTATCAGGACAATATCAGTATCAGTATCAGGACAGTATCAGTATCAGTATCAGGACAGTATCAGGACAATATCAGGACAGTATCAGTACAATATCAGTATCAGGACAGTATCAGTATCAGTATCAGGACAATATCAGTATCAGTATCAGGACAGTATCAGTATCAGTATCAGGACAGTATCAGTACAGTATCAGGACAGTATCAGTACAATATCAGTATCAGGACAGTATCAGTATCAGTATCAGTACAATATCAGTATCAGTACAGTATCAGGACAGTATCAGTACAATATCAGTATCAGGACAGTATCAGTATCAGTACAGTATCAGGACAGTATCAGTACAATATCAGTATCAGGACAGTATCAGTACAGTATCAGTATCAGTACAATATCAGTATCAGTACAGTATCAGGACAGTATCAGTACAATATCAGTATCAGGACAGTATCAGTATCAGGACAGTATCGGTACAGTATCAGGACAGTATCAGGACAGTATCAGTATCAGGACAGTATCAGGACAGTATCAGTACAGTATCAGGACAGTATCAGTACAATATCAGTATCAGGACAGTATCAGTATCAGGACAGTATCAGGACAGTATCAGTACAATATCAGTATCAGGACAGTATCAGGACAGTATCAGTATCAGTACAGTATCAGGACAGTATCAGTACAATATCAGTATCAGGACAGTATCAGTACAGTATCAGTATCAGTACAATATCAGTATCAGTACAGTATCAGGACAGTATCAGTACAATATCAGTATCAGGACAGTATCAGGACAGTATCAGTATCAGGACAGTATCGGTACAGTATCAGGACAGTATCAGGACAGTATCAGTATCAGGACAGTATCAGGACAGTATCAGTACAGTATCAGGACAGTATCAGTACAGTATCAGTATCAGGACAGTATCAGTACAATATCAGTATCAGGACAGTATCAGTACAGTATCAGGACAGTATCAGGACAGTATCAGTACAGTATCAGTATCAGGACAGTATCAGTACAATATCAGTATCAGGACAGTATCAGTATCAGGACAGTATCAGTATCAGGACAGTATCAGGACAGTATCAGGACAGTATCAGTATCAGTACAGTATCAGTACAATATCAGTATCAGGACAGTATCAGTATCAGGACAGTATCAGGACCAGTATCAGGACAGTATCAGGACAGTATCAGTATCAGGACAGTATCAGTACAGTATCAGGACAGTATCAGTACAATATCAGTATCAGGACAGTATCAGTATCAGGACAGTATCAGTATCAGGACAGTATCAGGACAATATCAGTATCAGGACAGTATCAGTACAATATCAGTATCAGGACAGTATCAGGACAGTATCAGGACAATATCAGTATCAATACAGTATCAGTATCAGGACAGTATCAGGACAATATCAGTATCAGGACAGTATCA